CCTCTGCCACTGCCCTGCACGACACGCGGCAGCCGGGCCCCACCTCACCCCCAAGCCACATCCTCCCCCATCCGTGAAACCGCACCCGCACAGCGCCAGGTCTCGCTGTGCGCTCGGGTCCCGACACTTGCCGATCCACCTTCTCCACCTTCGGCTCTTGGGATGGGCAGGGGTGGGAAATCAGAAGGGACCATTGCGGGCCCCGGGGCAATGCAGATAGCTGGGGTGGAGGGGAGCGGTGGGAGTCGCCCCAAACCACTACCCTGCAAGAAGAGGTCTCAAGGGAGGCCGCAGACCCCTGGCCGCTGGGTCGAAGGGGTGAAGCAAAGGAGATGAGGCGTTCCTCCCTCCCACCCAAGTTCCCAGGAGGGGCTGGCAGCCCTGTGAGGGCTGCCCCCTCACAATTGAAGTTTAGACCGGGAGAACTTGACAGGCAAGGCCAGGCAAGGCCAGGCAAGGCCAGGCAAGGCCAGACCAGCTAAGGATCCCGGGGAGAAGGGCACGAGACTGCCCCGTGAGCTGGTTCACGCGGTGGCTGAAGGCTGGCCAAAGCCATGTCCTGCCTCAGCCTTGGGTCAGCTACCCCAGATGAGAGAGTTCAGCCTTTGATGCCAGACGCATGGCCCAGGCCAAAAGGGCAGGTTTTTGTTTTTTTTTCCCTTTGGGGTAAGGAGGACAGTAGGCTAGGGCAGCACCTGCAGTACCCAGGTCATATGGTGCTACTTGCCGTGCGGATTAAGCTCCCAGGTGTGACCTTGCATAGTGCCTGTCCTCTCTCTGGACTGGAGTACACTACCTATGTATGCACTGAACGTATGTGTTAAACAGCTTGATCTGGATAACATGGTAGGTGGTGACCTAGTGCCGAATCCATCCTTGTCTGGTCTATATATAAATTAGGTGCTTTGATCAGACCCAAACATACACCTCCCAACCAGCTTGCTTGAGAAGATGGGAGAGGTGAGCTGTCTATCTGGTGGGGTGGGTTAAAGCAAGCCTCAAGAATGAAAGAGGCCTCAGTGGCCTGCGATGAGGTGGTTACTACACCCCTGGAAGGTGGGCAGAGAGGCTGGTGGCCTTGATCGCTGAGACAAACAGGAGCTGGCTTCTTCCCTCCTCCACCCAGCCTTCCCAGGGCCTCTGGGTGTGAGATCCTCCTCCACTGCAGTTCCCCACCCCCTCCCATCAGAAGCCCAGGGATGGCTCTGTCACCAGAGGTGTCATTTCCCAGCTGTCTGGGGGAGGTGAGTGAGCAGGGAGCGTGTATGTGTGCTGGGTGCGGGGACTCAGCCAGCTCTCAGATAAGATATTCATGGCACCCTCCCCCTTCTGAGGAGCAGCCACATTGCTGGCCCTTGTACATAGGCACCGACCATCTTGGTGGCTCAGGCCATGTGAACAGCAAGAAAGAGTGGCTCCCATGGGGGGCGTAAGGTCATGCTGGGGTGTGGGGGGGTGTGCTGGCTCTTGGTTTTTGGCCTCACTCTGCTTTTTTGTCAGTGGACGAAGATGCCAAATTCTAGCCTTTTAAGCCACAATATGTGGGTGTAAGACAGGGAGGGTTGAAAGGAGCAGAACCCACCCACCTCCCAACATCCTGCAACTAGCTGGGGAGGAGTTTAGTGCAGGACCAGGCAAGATGTTAGTTGCTGGTTTAGGAGTGATGCCCATTTTCTCTGGACGAGGCCAGAAGACGGGAAAGGGACAGAGCCTTAGACAAAAATGTAGGGTGCAGAAGCCAAGGGTGTGGCTTGCTATTGTTGTTGAGTCTGGGGGCTGCAGCAGAGTGGAAGCTAGGTGGGGAAATCCAGGACTCATCTCAGAGAGGGCTCTTACTGAGCAGCCCTTCCCCACACCATCCCCCAGGCTGGGGAGCTAAGGAACTCCCCAAATTTAGATCCATGGTGGAGGTGGGAGAAGAGGTGGGGTGGGATGACTGAGTTCACCTGGAAATGAGTAACTGAATGTTTTCTGCAAGCAGGTAGAATGGAGACCCAAAATAGAGGTAGGTTGAATTCTAGAAAAGTCACGCATTTGCATAAGCGAGGTGGTGACTTTTATGTTTACCTGCTTCAGAGACTTTCAGCTGAATTTCCAGGCCCCACCCTCAAGGCTTATTCAAAGGATGTGGGAGGGGGTCCAAGGTTGTTTCTAACCAGCACTTCTGCTTATTTGTATGCCAGCGACAGAGACCACACTTTAATAAAGGCTTTCTTTTATTGTGTTTTCCTCTTCAAACAACTACTAGTTTAGAGGATGGGGTGGAAGGGGGTTGGGTCATTCCCAGACTGACTCATGAACTTGCTCCATCCACTGAGTCAAACCTGAAATTAGTAATTAATTTCAGGGACCTTGTGTGTTTCTCAATCCTGCTTATAGGGAAAAGGCCTTCTAATTAGGAGCAGACCGTGCCTAGAATCAGCCTCATGGCTGCCATCAGCTGCTCAGACCCTGAGCTCTTTCGTAAGGCCTCCAGCCCAGACGGTTCCTGGGCTGCCTATCAAGCTCTAGGTTTTGAAGGGAAACGAAGCTCCAGGGGTCTTCTGGGGGCAGACTATTTCCATGGATTGCCATGTGTGCTTGGTTCGTTTTTTTCTTTTTTTTTTTTTTTAAGAATTATTTTCTTTAATTTTATTTATTTATTCATTTATTTTAATTTGACCAGAGAGAGATACACACAGAGAATGAGAGTGAGAGAGGGAAAGTGAGAAAGCAAGCTGCCTGCCAGGTCCAGGACTTGAACTGTGGTCAGCCATGTGAGAGTGTCAACACCTTAACCACCACGCCACCTGCCAGTCCTCAGTTCATTTTTTCATCATGTAGATAATGTGACTTCATTTTCCTTGTAGGCTATTAAAACATTAGCCATAAAGCTGAAGTTCCTTTGGCTACCACCCAACTTATTTGTCTTTTCTTTCGTTTTCTGGAAGTTTTCATGTATCCTCTTTGTTTTGGACAAAAAAATGGGGGGGGAGTGTTATATTACCTATTTTTTTTCCCAGAATGCAGTATTTATCTCTCTGAGGATAACAATTATAATTTTAAGATTCTATCTTAGTTTTTTTTTTTTTTGGAGAGATTTTCGCTATAGGGCGCATGCGTTCACCAGACAGAGAGAGAGACATAGAGACAGAAAGTGAGAAATCACCCCCCAGGGGGGATGGTCACGCGGCAATCCCTTCTCCTCCATTCTCCTCTAAGCAAGCTGCCTGCCAGGTCCAGGACTTGAACTGTGGTCAGCCATGTGAGAGTGTCAACACCTTAACCACCACGCCACCTGCCAGTCCTCAGTTCATTTTTTCATCATGTAGATAATGTGACTTCATTTTCCTTGTAGGCTATTAAAACATTAGCCATAAAGCTGAAGTTCCTTTGGCTACCACCCAACTTATTTGTCTTTTCTTTCGTTTTCTGGAAGTTTTCATGTATCCTCTTTGTTTTGGACAAAAAAATGGGGGGGGAGTGTTATATTACCTATTTTTTTTCCCAGAATGCAGTATTTATCTCTCTGAGGATAACAATTATAATTTTAAGATTCTATCTTAGTTTTTTTTTTTTTTGGAGAGATTTTCGCTATAGGGCGCATGCGTTCACCAGACAGAGAGAGAGACATAGAGACAGAAAGTGAGAAATCACCCCCCAGGGGGGATGGTCACGCGGCAATCCCTTCTCCTCCATTCTCCTCTCGGGATCTTGGGCACGCATGCACATGCGCCCGGCGTGAGTTTTAAGCCACCGGGTCCGGGACACAAACCGCGGTCGACTACGTGGGAGTCCAGCGACATAGCCATTACGCTAACTACTGGTTCCCAAAATTCTATCTTAGTTTTAAAAATAGGTAACATGGGCCAGCAGGTGGTGTGGTGGTGAAGGCAGTTGAATTCCCACATGCTAAGCATGGTTTGATTTCAGACCCGGTGGCTTGAAATTCATGCCAGGTGCATGTGCATACGTGTTCAAAACACAGAGAGGAGAAGGGATTGCGACCTGGAAGGTGAGTTTTTACTTTCCCTCTCTCTGTCTCTCTTCTTTGGCGAGTACATGCATACTATGGCAAAAATCTACAATAAATAGATAAATACAAATAAAGACCAAAAAATAGGTAACATGATCATATAGAAAAAATACAAAAGATGGTACAGTGTACCCGTGCTCTGACCTAGGAGCCCTGACACAGCTGCTGTTCCAGTCTTAGGAATTCTCCAAAGATCATGGTATACACTAGCATATACACAGAAATTTTTTGTTCTTATTTATTTATATATTTATTGTTAGTTTTTGCCATAGGACATGTGTGCTCACAAAGAGAGGCAGAGGGGAAAAGTGAGCAAGCACCCCTACCCCAGGGGGATAGCCATAGCACAATCCCTTCTCTTCCATTCTC